AGAAGGATGCAAATGTATTTAAATAAGTAGCACACTCATATTAATATAGTTCTGATACTTTATACCGCTTGAACTCACGCCAACCTAATGACTACAAAATGATAATTACTCTACGCCTGGCCCTTCTCGTTCACCGTCGTGAATTGATGATCTTCACCTGACCAACGGTGCCAAGTCTGGCACGACAGCTTGGACTCTTATTGATGTACGGTTAAACTTGGGTTAATGAGACGCTAACTAAGTTACGCCATTAATTTAAATGAGAATGAATCTCAGGAGTGCGGGGTGTTTCAAGTATTAGTTTCAATATAGTAGGGAAACATATAGTCATTATGCAGGCGATGAGTCACAATAACGTGGCTGAAGTATGTTGACCAGACCACACACTAGAAATTGAAGGGACGACGACGTTTCGGTCCGTCCTGGACCATACTCAAGTCGATCGACTTGAGTATGGTCCAGGACGGACCGAAACGTCGTCGTCCCTTCAATTTCTAGTGTGTGGTCTGGTCAACATATAGTCATTATATATAAGCCATTTTGGGCACTACTAGGGCTCACAATGCATCTCATTTCGCCTCTTGGACTGGTTATTGGCCTAAACTTCAACCAGTAAAGAGACTTCATAAACCAAACTCAACTACCCCTCCAGATTAGGTCATCAGAGCACGCAAGCAAATTTACCTCCTCACCCTCTCCTACCTCTGATGGGTACACCCCCCCAACGCTTCAGGGTGGTACCCCTACCCCCCACGCTGTTGGGGGGGGGGTAGGGGGGTACCCATTAGGATGACCAGCAGGAACAAATAAGCTTCAACAAACAGGCCCAAACTCCCTAAAAATATAAACACACAAAACACAGCATCAGCACACCTTTGACGTTCTTCTTTTACACTTCTAATATAATGCCAAAGAGCCCAAAAAAATACTAAATATACCAAGAGAGAGACACATTAAAAAATAAAAAATAAATTATATATATATATATATATATATATATATATATATATATATATATATATATATATATATATATATATCCCGAGAACTACTCCCTACTAAAATTTAGAGACTAATAGAGCAAGCATGGCGACTTTTAGTACACAACTGAAGAACCAACCTTCAGTTGACACTTATTTCCCAGTGAAAGACTTGTACAGAAACCTTATTTTATATAAAAATTATGGAGGAAAGGTAAATAGCCTTGGCCTGGATTCATCAAAACTTTACATGTTCGCTGACGAAACCTGTACATCTTTCATCAATCATGCCGGTTTAGTTTGCACTATATTAAACAGTTTATAAGCTCCGAAGCACTACGAGACTGTCTATAACATTAAAGGGGGGTAGAAATAGCCTAAGATACTCTATCCCTTTGAGATGTATTTATTGCTTATCTCAATAAACATTCTTGAACTTGAATATAACATTAACAACATTGGATTGCCAATTTTCGAAGCACTTAAACTGTTTATTAAATACAAACAAGGCCGCCATGATGGAGGAAAGTTGTAGAGATTTCTAAAGTGGACACCAAAATGCTTAATGAATTCGAATGATGAAACTGTTGGTAAATAGGCAGATGAGGATCTTATAATTGGCATAATACATTATCATTAAATTTTGGTTCAAAGTAGCAATTTTGATTTAATTATTACAACAAAGCTTCAAAGCGCTTTTCACAGTACAGTATTTAGCCATTACACTCGTGTTTAATGATATCATACATAAAATATATATAAAGCGTTAGAAACAGTTCCAAGTTATATTTAACTTGTGAACGCGCTATATTCTCACTCTGTCACATACACACAAAATGATGCACAAAATACAAATAGCAGATGTGGAGAGGTGCGCAGCAAGATTAGTGCAAGAACACGGAGGTTTAAGCTACGAGGGCAGGTTAAAGGAACTAATTCTTGCAATCCTAGAGATGGCAAAAACAGGAACGATACGATCACAAGATACAAGATATTGACGGACAAGGTCAGGCACTCTGGAAAAGCAAATGAGTCCTCGATTGTTTCAAGCGTGGGTTGGACATGTATATGAGTGGGATTGGGTGGTTATAGATAGGAGCTGCCTCGTATGGACCAATAGGCCTTCTGCAGTTACCTTTGTTCTTATGTTAGAAATGTATGGAAACTAGGCACGCGTTCCCTGTGCGAATGGCCAACAGGTGGAAAGCCCCTGAATGAAGTTGTAGAAGCCACCTCTATCCACAGTCTATAATCCAGATTCGACAAAGATTTACGAACGCCAGAATGGTTTAAATTATTACGCAACAGGTACGAAACTAGTAGTCAAGGTATAATGAGCCATAACTTCCCTTACTCGTTGTTACTTATAATTAAGCACACACTAACCTAACTGGATAGAGAAATTCAAATGTAGCCTAATTAGGCAATGACTAAAAACTTGTGAATAGAGTCACTGCATTAAATTACTAATAGTTGAAACTGAGGGGCTTAGGAGCTAAAGCACGACATACAAGAAATACAATTGAAAAAAATAATTTTTAACTCTGCCCTGTGATGTGCTGGCGTCGACATCCACATTATCTGCACAATTTATTTATTTATTTATTTATTTATTTATTTATATACAAGAAGGTACATTGGGTTTGTGAGAATACATAGCATAGTATTTACAATCTTGTAAAGCCACTAGTATGCGCAGCGTTTCGGGCAGGTCCTTAACTGATAACGCCATGTCATGAAGAATATATGCGGGCGTCACAGCTTAATTTACCTACATTACCCATTACCCAATTTTCCAGGTGAATATCACGGCTCCAATTTCCATGTGGGAAAACACGATGAAATTATAGAAGAGAAGCCCATAAAACAGAGTAGGAAATTGTAACTCCTTAGTATCTGCTGCGTGTATTTATTTCCCCCGTCGCTCTTATTTACTGGATGACAACCTGGGCCACGATTTATCAAGCGTTTACGCAACCACTTACGAAACCCGTATATCTTTCCTCAATCATGGCGGCTTTGTTTACATTTGTCAACAATATACGAGCTTCGAAGCTTCTCAATCCAATCCTTCGGAGCTCATAAACTGTTTAATGAATGTAAACAAGGCCGCTATTATTGTTGAAAGATGTACAGGTGCCGTAAGTGGATTCGTAAATGCCTGATGAATTCTGGCCCTAGGCGCTGATTTATGATTCTGCATTTCATCTCTGCATTCATGTTACATATCGCTTAATGGTGATCTACTGCAATCGTAATTTAGTTACTTAAATGAGAATCACCGACACTGATTGTCGATGAAAACAATAACATTTGTGTATTATTCTAAGGAAATATGTGAATGTAACAGCAGCTCCAGCGTGGTACTATAGGGCACTCCAAGCCACGCCCATGACTACTCCTCAAGTATACCAACATTGATTCTCTTGTAACTACCTCTGAACTTGGTTTTCAAGACTTGCAGTCTTGAAAACTAACTCGTCTAATTGTGCTTGTGGGGGTTGAGCCTTGGCTCTTTGGTCCCGCCTCTCAACCGTCAATCAACTGGTGTACAGATTCCCAAGCCTACTGGGCTGTGTATCATATCTGCATTTAAAACTGTGTATGGAGTTTGCCTCCACCACATCACTGCTAGATGGCAGTGATGCGTGAAGGTAATCATGTTTAAGAGGTGCATTTCCATTACACTCGTGCTGAGACCATCACAGTCATAATAGCACCCGTCCGGCTCTTGAAGACATTCAACAACATTTCAATTCTGTAATACTGAGATTAGGAAGCTTTCGGAAGGCTTATTATCACTAGTAACACAGATTCTTGTTCTAGGGATAGTTACATCTCAAATCCACCCAGAATTAACTTTCTTAACGGATACCTAATACAGTCAGCATATTAATGTTCGCACCCTCAAACGTAGGCCTAATTTTAAACAATTTAGGCATGACTACAGGTGGAACATGACAGGAGTAAGTTACCTTGGTAGTGAGGTAGGCGACCAAGTAAGACCTAGTCTCATGTGACCCAGCGAGTCTTCCATTTGACTACAATTTTACAGCAGTTAAAATTTTAACTGTTTAGTAACAATAATAATTGAAACAAATTATAAGAAAAGTTAACAAAGTGACAAATCATTTTTGTTTTGTTTAGAATAGCCAAGTGACCACACACGTCTTGCTTAAAAGTCACGAGAATAAGTACAGTCAACACTGCCATCAAAATAGGTACAATCAAATGCCATCAAAATAGGTATAATCAAATGCCATCAAAATAGGTACAATCAACACAGACCCGGGGAAGAGTAGTGGCACTTTAGGACAAGCCACCGGGTTTCAATAGGGAGAAGGAGGAGGCTGCAAGCGGTGGTGCTGGTGGTGATGGTGGGGTGCTTGTAGGAGCAACAGGTACCCCGTCCAGTGTGTGACTGCACGCCGCTGCACCTCCCCGCCGCCTGCACCTCCCCTTATTCACACCTTCGCTCTTACCTTCTCCTTAATATAGTTAATTTCTTAGCCAACACATATTTCTGGAACCAAACGAACAATCTATGTTCATATTACCGACAGAAACAGATGTCACTGAAAATTAGCAAGATGATCTAAAAGAATTTATATATATATTATATATATATATATATATATATATATATATATATATATATATATATATATATATATATATATATATATATATATATATATATATATATATATATATATATATATATATATATAACCAACTATGAATAGTTTATTCAATTCAATCCAGGGGGTCACATATTCTGTCATTACTCCATAAAGTACGTGTATATTTAATATACATATGTATATGTGCGTGTATACATGTGCGTGTGTATGAAAAACATGAACAATATTTGAATCAATTCACTATTGAAGACAAGCTTGCAATAATGGTTTAATTCGAACATTTTCCCCAAGACTTTAGACACGACTGATGATATAAAAAAAAACAGTATTCATCAAACAGTGACGAGCCGAGGAAGAGTTCAGGCAGAGGCCGTACCTGCATCATGATGGTGGTGATGGTGATGATGTCTGGCGCTCAACAGCGGCCCTGTAGCCTACAGCAACTTCAAGACAAGATATAATCTGTTGTCATCTGCGGCATGGGTCCACGTGCGAGCAACGGCAAGCATGGTGCACTCTTAACCACATTATCTATCACTGATAGTAGTAAGCGCGCTATACATCCTAGTATACTTAATCACATTATTTCTTTTTATCTATCGACCACTTTTTAAATGTCTAATATACAGGTCTCACCCTCCCACTAGGGAGACTGACCCAAACACTGGAAGCACTATCACACAAACTGCCCCAACTGAAGCAGTAACGTAAGCTGGGGGATATGCGAGAACAGCGGATAAATATGCCGGAATTGTGCAGTAAATCCGGATCATCCAAGTCTGGGGGTACTGGAGTAAAAGCCACTATATGCGGCTAGTATACCAATCCGGGTAAAATATAGGAGTGGGTGAGAGAAGCACTTGGTCGGGCGGCCCCTGGCGGTGGGAAGGACACGACGATCGCTGCTCCTCACCCTCACACGGTCTAGCCAACACTGGTTCTGGAGGCTCGTGGCTGGCTCGCCGCCTCCATGCTGCTGTTCCTGCTGCTGCTGCTGCTGCTGCTGCTGCTCAACATGCCTCGCTACCCACTTGCTCCATGCTGATACTCTTGACAACATTCACACTGCGTCATGTTTCCAGTTGCCCACAATTTACATTATATACCATTTAAATTTGATTTTACATTTCTGTGTGACATTCGATCACTTTTTCTCAGCGTGAGTATGAAGGGCCAGGGTTGGTGTTAGTAACTCGGGGTGATCTTGCAGAGCGCAACGTTGTTCCAGGTGGGTTGTAAAGGCTGTTCCTGCATGGCGTCCAGCTGGGTATCATCACTTACCGCGCCTCGCTGCCTCCACCCACGCCACTCTCCCTCTCCCCCATCACTGCCTCCACCCATGCCACTCTCCCCTCGACAACTTCCACCCACGCCACACTTGGCATAAGGTCTATCAACCTCTGGAGAGTTATGAAGTCCACCACAATAGCTTACTGACGAACCAGCAAGTATAATTTTGTCCTGGGCTAAAGTAAACTCTGAATGTATATACACCGATAAGCAGGGTATATACACTCAGCTGTATATATAATCAACATGGTATATATATATATGATTTAGTATATATATCCAAATATCATTCGACTGCTCCTGTTAACCCTACTGCAACTCGGCTAATTACCTCACCTTTCCCAATATTTCTCACATGTATTATTACCAATATTATCTAAAACGTACAATCTGCAGCATATTGGAAGCTAGCAGGCAGTTGAATGGCATTTAAATACCTAAACAAAAATGATTTCAAGACTATATAGCCTATGTAAGACCGATAGTGGAATACTCAGCACCGGCATAGAATCCGTACATACTGAAGCAAAAACTGAACTTGAAAATAAATGCATGGGTTTGCAACAAGATCAGTGTCTGAATTAAGGGAACTAAGCTACGAGAACAGGTTAAAGGTACTGATTCACACAACCCTTGAGAAGATAAAACCAGAGGAGATATGATCACGACATATAAAATACTGAGGGTAATAGACAAGGTAGAGATGGATAGACTCTTTAAAACTTAAAAGAACATAAATCAAGGAAACAAGTGAAAGCTGTAAACGCAAATGAATGGACAGAATATTAAATACTCTTACTCAGTACTAGTGAAATTCATTGAAAGAAACAATTAAAGGTTAATTCACAATTTTTAATCCAAATATGACAAAGAATTCGAACATCGATAAACTAAAATAAAACGGAACGGGAACAAAGGTAGGAGGCGGAACACAAAGTGCTAGGCTTCCCTTCTCTGTCGTCACTGATAGGTAAGTACTATTACCGTCTCCCGTCCACCGACACCACACCACCACCACTTCTGTCTCGTGTTCCCTGTCACCTCGCTGCTACCTACTTGTCACTTTCATCCCAGTAGGCCTACCTATCTGCCCCCATGTCTTACCCACATATTACCTTCTGCTATCCTATTTACTGAACACAACCTCTCGACAACTTTATCCGCGATAACTTTACCAAAAGCAGCTTGAATAGTGGATTTAACAATTTCAGAAAGCAGAATAATTCGCGCTCAACGCATAAAACTTTGCGTTGAGCGCAAATTGTCCTTACCCGGCCTTGCTTGTCCATCCACTGATGAAGACCATTGTTATCGCATACAACTATATAACTCATTTCTAAATTCTTGCTTCGTTAGACTGGTTCCGCTTGTCGGCGTCTCGATGGTCAAGAATTCGAACGATGCATTTTTTGTAACAAGATAAAGCAAGAAAAATACAACATTTACGTTCTTACATATTGCTGAAAGTACTATTATTTTTTTTAATGACAAGCCGGCCAGAATGTTACTTAGGTTGGCTGACTTATATGCTGAGCTCATATATGATGAGAGACTTTAGTACTATAAGGTAAAACAAAATATTTTCTCACAATAATGCAAGTGGGGTTCTACATTACTGGTACATGTTATTTAAACGATCGACTTGAGAATGGTCCAGGATGGACCGAAACGTCGTCGTCCCTTCACCTTCTAGTGTGTGGTCTGGTCAACATGTTATTTAAACCATTCACAACTTTTAAACTGCCTTTAAACGACCACCTGATTAAGTCACAGAGGCTATATCTTAGTATTACGTTAGGCTGAACCGTTACCTTGTCCCTCCATGTGCTTGTTATATGTTGGTTGTTCCTAAGTTGAATAAACAATTAGGCTTTAAGTTAGGCTATTCAAGTTCCACCTTCCTTTGCCCCATTCTACCATTATTGTTTTACTTTCCACGAGTTAAGGCGGAGTTCGTCACTGACAATACGGTCTAGGTGACCCACTGCAACAAAAATATATAGTTAGTAAAAGTCAGCATAGTTAATCAAACTTGTCACACAAGGAAGGTTTCCATATATGCAAAATAGCGTATATAAATATGGATAAGCTTATCCTAAGTTTTCTACAACCACCAAAAAATCGGCAATCATATAAAAAAAACTATTTTAGCATGTGGGGTTAAAACAAGTATATATTTTATACTTATGTATTCGTATACATTGAATTCATGCACATAATTATATACGTGGATGCGTTCATACTTATGTAAACATTTGTGCCATCTTGATGCAGGGTACAACGCAGTATTTAACTAATTTAAAAAGCTGTTTCTCCTCAATTTGCATAATGTTTTTGTGATAATATGTCCCCATAAAATCCCAGATACCATTTTGAAATAATTTCACCGTTATAATCCAGTCAGTGTTATAATCCAGTCACACACACACACAGTATTACAATCCAATCACATTAGTCGGTGGTTAAATATTAAAAGTGTATCAATAGCCAAAACGACATTCTATCTTTATACGTTTTAGGCGTTCCTGAACCTGGTGCTAACACATTGCTTAACCAAAGACACGATAGTTTAGCGATCATGTTACCTGCCCTCCTAGATAGCAAGCAGTTGACCAGCCCGTCCCCCTAAGGTTCCACGTCAAGAAAACATATATATACATTATATACATATATATATTATATACATATATATATTATATACATATATATATTATATACATATATATATTATATATATATATAAATATATATATATATATTATATATATACACACAAAAGTTCTTACATTCTTGTATAGCCACTAGCACGCATAGCGTTTCAGGCAAATCCTTAATCCGTATTCCCTGGAATACGACCCGCCAAATCGTTTAACAACCAGGTACCCATTTTACTGTTGGGTAAACAGAGCCTACAGTTTAGGATTTGCGCCCCGTAAATCCTCCCCGGCCAGGATACGAGCGAGCCAGGATACAAGTGTCTTCTCCTAACCTACCAGATTAAGCCAGAGGACCCAAAACAGAAAACGGGACAGTACGTCAACTTCGCGAGCTGCTTCCATTTTCTAGTACAACAATTTTTGGCCTTATGTAACGCATACGAGCGAAAAGCGACGTTGTTTGTAGGAGGACAGGTTGAGTTGACATCTGGCAGAAACCATATGGTTAAGTTTCATCAGCTCAGACGCTCTGCTGGGTTAACATTTGGCTCCAGATAACTTGCTAAGGCACCACACTAAGAGTTATGGTATTAGGTATTGTATCTTGTAGCACTGTACTTGTATACTGTGTTGTGGTTCTCAGTATCCGGGTCACTGAATTGAAATTTGTGTTCATGTTTTCATGTTATTTTGACATAAATTTCGTGTACTAAGACACTTGTATTGCAGTTGTTAAATTAACTTTTACTTTGTTTTATTAAATTTAACTTTTGTTTTTACCTTTGGTTTTCACTTGTTCCCCATATGTACATTGAAGCTTTTTGTGCGGTATTTTGTTTTGTTATGATACAAACAGAAAACCATCAGTTGGGCATAACCACAGTTAAACTGGGTATAGTTGACCAGATCACACACTAGAAGGTGAAGGGACGACGACGTTTCGGTCAGTCCTGGACCATTCTCAAGTTATGAAGATGACAAGAATGAAGCTTATGAATGCGTGTCAGGACAAGATGCTCGAGTACGATGCTCAAGAGACCTCAAGTCACAATCGCCTTGAGAATGGTCCAGGACGGACCGAAACGTCGTCGTCCCTTCACCTTCTAGTGTGTGGTCTGGTCACCTTACTTTAGCCGCGTTATTGTGACTCGTCGCCTGAAACTAGGTATAGCTTTCATCCCTCTAACTCTACAGCTGATCCCCGTCTCTGTCGAGGGAGAAACCTCTGTCAAGGCTATTACAACTTCGCCAAAACTTCCTGTAAGATTTACATTCCTCCGAACTTTATGCGGAGAAAAAGATTGTGTGATCATAGTCGCCGCGAGTTACTCCTCGGCTCTCCTGCAGCGCAAGAGACCTCACACACAGCCCCGCTCCTGTGCCAGGTAAGTCCACTACGGGCTCACCATAGCCCGTGCTACTTGCCCCGCTCCTGTGCCAGGTAAGTCCAATACGGGTTCACCATAGCCCGTGCTACTTGCCTCGCTCCTGTGCCGGGTGAGTTACAGGCTCACCATAGCCCGTGCTACTTGGAACTTGTTCCGAGTAGCTGAATCTATAACAACAACAACAGCAAGAGACCAGAGAAGCGACCGTTCTCATCAGTGGGCGGACGAGTTATGAGCAATCATCAACGCCGTTTATCTCAACACGCGAGGACGGAGATTTTGAGCGTCCATCAAAGACTCGGCCACTCCGTAAAAAACACAACCTTTTATCCTAACCAGAAACGTTAGAATCCAAGCAACCCGTCTAACCTATCGAGTCCGATGCATAGAAAACGTTCACATTTGTGAGCCATTACCATTCTCAATAGTAATTTGCAACGTTGACGTTGGTAAAAAAAAAAAAAACGATAGCATCGTACTGGAACATCTTGTCCTGACACGCATTCATAAGCTTCTCATACGCCCTTCATCTCCGCGTGTTGTTTACAGTCACTCTACACTAAAAGTGCTTACAGGCTTACGGGCTATTC